AGGGCCTCGCGGCCAGGCACGCTATGAGGGGTCGGCGCCTCGGGGCCCAGGAGGGGTTCCGGCCTTTTAGCTTCTGGTTCTGGGGTGCGTGGTGGAGGCTGGAGAGCTTTCCAGGGCCAGAGATGGTGGGGCTTGGGTGGCGTTGGCCCCCGGGTGAGGGGCGTTCAGGGGGCCTCACTGGGGACACAGGGGCCTGGCCTGGCCCGAGGCCTTCCCTGGGCCCTCCTGGCCCTGGATGTGGACACCCGTGTCTGTGCGGCCGCTGAGGAAGCTGGTGGGGTGGGGGACAGGAAGGCTGAGGAGTGCCCGGGCACTGCAGGCCCGGCTTGCGGGCGCGCCTCCGGGACCCAGCGGGGACCTCGCCCTGAAGCACCACTGCCGGTGGGGGCGCCCTCCCGGACCCCTCCGGAGGCCCCCACGCCGCTAAGACGGACCCCCCAGCTGGCGTTCACTGCTACAGCCCTGGCGCCCCTTAAAAGCTGACTTCCACTTTCCTTCCCTTGGAACGACTGGGAATTCTGACCCGGTTAGGTTCGTCGTTCCGTGATTTAGCTTTTAGGACTTTTCAGGCCTGCAGCTGGAGGTGTGGTCGGCGTTCCGGAACCATTAAAAACTGACATTTTTACTGAACAGCAGAGCGCCTCCTGGGGGGGCGCCTGGGCCTACCTAGGGCGCAGGCAGCAGCCTGGGGGCCGGTTGCTGCGCTGGGCGGGGCGGGGCGGGGGCCTGGCGCGCTACCGGGTGAGGTGGGGCCCCACAAGCTCCCGCACCCCCGAGGGGTCCTTGGCAGGCCGGGCAGTGACAGCCCGAGCCAGGGGCCCTCCCGGGCGGGGTTGAGCCGCTGGCGGGCTGGTCGCCGCGGTGACGCTCTTTCTGCTGCCCCAGGGAGGACCTGGGCTTCAGGTTCATCTCGGAGCAGGTCAGCCACCACCCGCCGGTCAGCGCCTTCTACTCGGAGGGCCTCAACCAGGACTTCCTGCTGCACGGCTCCATCTACCCCAAGCTCAAGTTCTGGGGCAAGAGCGTGGAGGCCGAGCCCCGCGGCACCATCACGCTGGAGCTGCGCCGGTGAGCGCCGCCCCGCCCCGCCCCGCCCCGCCCCAACGCCCGCGCTCGGCCCTGACCGCTGTCCCCGCAGGCACGGGGAGGCCTACACCTGGACGAACCCCACCTGCTGCGTCCACAATGTCATCGTCGGGAAGCTGTGGATCGAGCAGTACGGGACCGTGCAGATCGTGAACCACAGGTGACGCCAGCGAGCGTGGAGGGTTGGGGGGCTCACGGAACTGCGCCCCTCATGGCCACGCCCCGGGGCCTGTGGGGCTGCCGGGCTGCGCTCTCAGCTGCGGGAAGCGGGGGTGCTGATTGGGAAGTTGAGCCACAGCGAGGGGCAGGTGACCCCGGAGCCGCGCCCCAGGCTGCCCCTGTCCGCCTGAGCCCTCCCGGAGCTGGGGCCAGCGCTGCCCTCTGCAGGCGGGTGGACGGGCCCTGCAGACACGCCCGGCATCACGTGGCACTTTGCCTGGTGTCACCGCGTGGGCCGCCCTGTCCCTGCAGGACGGGGGACAAGTGTGTGCTCCACTTCCGGCCATGTGGCCTGTTCGGGAAGGAGCTGCACAGGGTGGACGGCCACATCCAGGACAGGAGGTGAGCGCAGGCGCGGCTGG